GAGTCACTGAGACGTGTCCCTTTTACCTGGAATCAATAGTGGGCTTGGGGAAAAGGAGTCACATTTGTTAACAGCTAGCAATCCTTCTCATTGTTCTGTGAAGCATGAAAAATGGCTTTTTCAGAGTCTTGAGAGACCTCCAGTGGGAAGGGTCTCTGCACGTTTCCCTGCCTTCCATCTCCTCCTTCGCATCACATTCTCCTATTAGTGAATGGGTCTCTTAAAAACAGTTTTGATGTCTCTTTGTTTCCTTGGAGTTTCTTCCTTCCTAGTTTTTCTCTTAGATTTCTTTCATCCTCACTGGAAACTCCTTGACTCCTCTGAAGAAACACAGAATCACAGAACATCGAGCTGAAGGGAACTCTGGAGATCCGACTAGATGGACTCCCCCAGTTCCTTATTTTTCTGGGGAGGAAATCAAGGCCCAGAGAGTGGAAATGACACAATGCACTAATGCACTAATGCACTAGTGACGAGGACTAAAATCATCTGGCCTAGTGTGCCACCCTGCCTGCCTTGTGGCTCCCCCTACGACTTTTCCCAGCTTACGGTAGAACACTCACTCAATCAGTAAATATGCATTAAACATCTACTATGTGCCAGGCGCTGTGCTAAGCACCGAGCATGCAAAAAGAGGAAAAAGGCAGTCCCTGCTCTCAAGGAGCTTATAATCTAATGGGGAAATTGCCTGTACATTATACTAGGTCACTCCAGCATTATGCTCCTAATAAAAGCGGGGGTATGGGGGTGCTGCTTTTACACTGCTTTACCTTCCTCCTTCCTGTGCTGTCTGCCAGGCCTTATCAGTCTGCCCATTTGTGATCAAGATGCAGCTAGAGGGCACAATGGATAGAGAGATGGACAGTCAGGAAGGTCTGAGTTCAAATCTAACTTACTAGTTGGGTGACCTTGGGCAAGTCACTTAACCTCTGCCTGCCTCTGATCCCTCATCTGTAAAATGGGGATAATAATAGCACCTATCTCCCAGAGTTGTTTTAAGGATAACACGAGATAATATTTGTAAAACACTTTGCAAACTTTTTTTTTATTTTAATTTTTTTTTAATTTTTAGGTAATTGGGGTTAAGTGACTTGCCCAGGGTCACACAGCTAGTAAGCGTCAAGTGTTTGGTCTGAGGCTAGATCTGAACTCAGGTCCTCCTGACTTTAGGGCCGGCACTCTGTCCACTGCACCACCTAGCTGCCTCTACTTTGTAAACCTTAAAGCACTAAATAAATGCTAGCTATTTATTATTGTTATTATTAATTGTCAACTAGTATTAGTTTATAGAGGTAACTCAGTTAACAATCATCTCATTAAACAGGTAATAGACACAGTCTACAAATACTCACGATCACAATGTAAAAAAAAAAATACCTCGTCCATCACTCCCCACTTCTGTTTACTGGGACTGTTTACCCACCACTAGGTTCCTGGTGGCCAAAAAAATTAAACATCGTTTCAAGTTAAATTATCCCAAGTTAACATATATTAAATGTTAATAGAACAGTCACAGTAGAATGCAGACAAGCATGTAATCAATACAGCATGAGTAACAACCTTCTTCCTAATAGCAACCATAACTGATAAACAATTCATATAAAAAAAATTGTGTCCTGGCAGAAGGCTCAAAGACCCAGAGTTTGCTGATTGATCTAATGACTACCAAGTTATTACATCCCTATCCTGGGTTCTGCAGAGATAGCAGTGCCTCTTCATAAGGAACATGATAGAATTGCAAGCTGTTTACAATCCAGGAGGTGGAGAACAAACAAGCTGATTTGTCATTGAATCCCTGACAATACATTTATCTTATTATCAGTTAGCTGGGTTCCTGCTCAGCTGCCCTTCAGCCCAGCCCTTAACAATCACCGGGGTCAGACAAAAAGAACTCCTTTAAACTCCCAAACCACTCCCCAAACAAAACCAGCAGCCTCAGAGATGCAAAGGTTAGGAATGGGAAAGCAATGGCAGTGATGTGTGCAGACATTTTTCTTTCCTTTGCTGGTTTCAAATCACTTTAAAATTATTTCATCCTGCACAATGGGAACAGGATTTTGCTTTAACAACATAATCTAGAATCTACTTAATCATAATAATATAAGTAGCTAGGTGGTACAAGTGCTGGGCCTGGAGTCAGGAAGACCCGAGTTCAAATTCAATCTCAAACGCCTACTAGCTGTGTGACCCTGGGCAAGTCACTTAACCTGTCTACCTCAGTTTCCTCAAGTGTAAAATGGGCCTAACCTTCCAGGGTTGTTGCGAGGACAAAATGAGATATTTGTAAAGGACTTTGCAAATCTTAAAGTGCTATCTAAATGCTAACTATTATTATTATTATTATTATTATCTAGAGTTCTTTAGAACAGAACTTGCATTAGTTTGTTGGGTTTTTCAAGGGAGGATTTGGGGGCAGCAATTGTTAAGTTAGTCTTGAAATTTCTCATACTTGTAAAGGATCTTTGGAAGCATGGCTACTGGGACAATATGAAGTAAAGATCTATAAGGTGATACCTATATTTAGAAGGGCTAATTTATTAAGCTAAGTACAACTCAAGCAGAGCTAATCAGCTTTGAGCTCACCATCCATCCTGTACTTGGCCCTTTACTGACTGTGGCAAAGTGACCTCTATTCTGAGGACCAATAAGGGCCCTGATCAGTCTAGCTCTGACCATAGAGAAAAAAACAGCAAATCTCTGCCTTAACTTTCCTTTTTTTCTGTCTCTTTTTTATTGCAGCTGGTACAGAGATTTGCAATGGAGGCCCCGCTCCAAAGTCTTCCACCTGCTGCATTCTCTAAACGCCCTTCATTGCTGATGTCCCAAGCTGGGCATGAGTCTTCTTATCTCCCAGGCACCTCGCTGAAGCTCCTGCAGAACTGAGGTTTCTTATTGCAGTCTGCAAAGATAAGCACAGGTTTCTGGAAATCCAAAGGAAAAATTGCCCCCAAATATTTTTTTTAACATTTAAAAAAGTACTGGTTTTACAGTTATTTTTATAAACTACAGTAAAGCCAAGAACTAAAAGTTCAATTTGGCACATTTTAAAAAGGTTTGGTTTTTAGTAGGTACTATCTCCCCCAAGAAGGATAGGTGCTGTGTGTATGTGCATAGATTGGCTACACACACACACACACACACACACACACACACACACGCACACAGATGAATTCTAATTTATCTTCTGCTCTACACAAAACTTACATCCAAAGCCCTCCAAGTGAAACCAAAACACTGAAACCTAATATGTGTTTTAAGTTGTGAGTCCATTGCAAAACATACTTATCCCATCTGGTCTATTAGGAAAGGCCAAAGCAGAAATGGCGCCGAGGTCTGCTTTCTGCATGACAATCCTACAATCCATATAGTTTATAGACTCTAAACTTTTACTATCATCACCAATTGAGAGCTGCCTTAATTCCTTTTCAACAGATCCCTAAGTTCATCAACTTCTGTAACAATGATTTGCAGCCCATCCATGCTTTCTCATCCTATAGGATTCCCATCCATATGCTCCCAACAACCCCTTAGAAAACCTTCCTCTAGGCAGGTCTTTTAACATTCCAGGTACCAGCTCAGCTCAGTTTTCATTGGATAACTAGCCCATCTGATCATACATCTTGACAGCTGACAACTCACCTGAATCAATTTAGATAATTCCTTTTAAAAAATGACTTTCCACCACTATAGCAGCCACAGGCCCCTTATAGCTTAGATGTGTAGCCTTTATAAACCACGGAAGAAAGGAAGAGAGGTGAGTCAGAAAGCTATGTTCTCCCCATCACTCCATCACACAGTGAGGTCTTCCCCTAATACAATGGTGTGAGTTCAGTGAGCACCTTATTCCTCACTAACAAATAAGTGGATGGAGGGTTAGAGAGGTAAGGGTGCCCATTTGGGAAAGGGTACTAATTTCCCCTTAGCAACCAAGGGTTTAGTTTGTAACAAGTGCCCCAAAGATTTTCTTCTTGTGGTGGGTGAACACCATCATCAGTTAGTTTAACTAGAGCTTTAAGGAATTACATAATCGTGTTTGCAACCTACTTGTTTAGCATGTTTAAGAGGCAAGTTGTGAACAACTTTGTAAGAGATCTTGGGTCAAAAACAAGAAGCTGCTGGGCCGAGGTGAGAGGGCCCTGGGACCGTGAAGCCCTGAGCTCTATCATAGTTCTGTGATCTTGAGTAACAACCTCGTGGCCTGTTTTCTCATCTGTAAAATGGGAATGTTTCTTGTATTACCTACCTCACAGGGCTGTTGTGAGGCTCCAATGAGAAGTTAATGAAAGCACTTTGTAACCATAAAGCAGTATCAAATATGAGCAACTACTCCAATAAACAGGCACTTTGCAGAGAAGAGTGATCAGTGGGGCCCCAGGTTGGTCTGGAGAAAGGACATGAGACAAACTCCAGATTTGTGAAGGACAGTAAGGTCAGACAGGGCAATGCAGAAGTAAAATACTAGGAATACCGCAAAAGGTTGTGACAGGGCAGAAAACCAGCACATGTGCTTCCTCATGGATAATGAGGCCCTGGGGAAAGCACAGCCAAAAATCTGCCAACAGAATAGCATCAGATGTCACCAGAGAAGTGAAAATGATGTGTGAGGCAGGAACAGTCCAGAGGACAAGGATGGGATTCAGGGAGCTGCCACATCCTATCCCAAATAAGGCTTGACAGCAGGCCTTACAATGGAACAGAATGAGGGCCAGACAAAGAATTCTCTACATGACCAGGTATCACAGGCTATGAATAAAAACAGGTTCAAAGGTTCATGGATAAAAGATTCCTAACCAGTTACTATGGGGAGAAGATGGAGACTGGCTGACCTCTGAGGTGACATCAAGGGTAACTTCACCTTCCTCCCCCACCGTCCTCCATGCCCTGGCCCCTTCGGACAGAACACCAGGCATCAGGGACACAGGAGCTGGGGCAGGGAGAGGAGCAGGACTTATGATGTTAAATTCATCTATATTTGGAGATAGCAAGAAAGATCCACAACATTGAATACATCATAGAAAGCTTTATTAGACCACAACTCTTGCAGAAGAAAACACAGCAAATCTTTTATTTCAATATGGTGTCACCTCGGGCTGGAATGGAGGGGAAAAAGAACAAGTTATTATCTTATAAAACCTAACCACACCAATAATGTAATATAAAAAAAATCCTTTATATATCAGGCTGCCTATTCTCCACTTAGTTTTAAATCAAATTCAGGAACAGGGCTCATCTATTTTCTGTCAACTGCTTTCTTTAGGAAGCATTTCCAAGTATTCTGATTTCATTTAGAAGAGTAAGGATGGTGGAAAATACCACAATTCCTTGACACCCCTGGCCATGCTCTTTTAGTAAAACCCTTTAAGGATTCATTAATTTAATATTACCCTTTGAACTAAAAAGGAAAATTAGGGTCATTACAGGCAAACCCTAAGCAAAAACAGCAGGCAATGAGTGTCCAGGGAGCAAAGCCCTCACCAAGGCCCTAAGCAGCAAGCCATGGAAACAGCTGCAGACCCTCCAGGGGAAGAGAAGGTCCCTTTCACTGACAAACACTGTGGCCACCACTCTGCCTGCTCCCTAGGAAGAAAGCTCCAGTCCCCCACTCTAGCCCCACCCCCTAGCCTGCAGCTCTAGTCCATTCTCCTTATACAAGGTCAGGTTGGGAATTCTCCCCATTACAAAACCATAGTAGTTGCTTCAGCACCTTCTTCCAATTTCTGCTGAGCCTTCTTTATTTCTTCCTCCTTCTTTTTTTGCTCTGCCGCTAGCTTCCGTTCTTTTTCTGCCCGTGGCTTTAGATAAGCTGTTTCAAGAAAAAAAATTCCCCAGCCAACTTATTTATGAGACAGAATGTTATACTGCCTTCAGGGGGCCTAAGAGTCTAAATCCATGCTCTGTTGCTTGGTTCAGGGGGTTAGTGTTGGGACTTAAAGTCAGAAAGACCCGAGTTCAAATCCTTGAGACACTTGCTCTGGGACCCCAACAAGTCTGTTAACCTTTCAGACATAGGTTTCCTCATCTGTAAAGTTAGGATAACAACAGCACCTGCCTTCATAGGGTTGTTGTAAGACACAAGCAAGTTACTAAATGCAGAGGTTTTGTAAACCTTAAAGTGCTAAATAGATGCTAGCCATTATCTTTACTAATCCTATTTACTTCGTGTGAACATGGCCCCAAGTCACAGCTTCTCAGCCCGCCTTCAAGCAGAGCAAGAGGGCTGTGCTAAATGACTTCCAAGACCATTTCCAATATTTAAATACTTGGATTCTATTCGAAATAATGTCGAGGTCATAGTCTTAACCAACCCATAAATATCTAATTTTTAAACTAATGAGAAGCACTCATCTTTCCCTCTATTTTCCAGAGGGAAAAAAAACCCCAACATACATTGGTCAGCTCCTTAAAGTTTATCTAACACCCTACAGGGTCACAAGCACGGAAGAGCAGGAACCCAGTCAAGAGCGTTCCCACTCACCCTCTGAACTTGGCTTGTCTTTGGCAGAAGCGCAGCTGATCAGACTGGGGACAAAATCATTTTACTGGCAAAAATCACAGGTTATCTGTGGAGAACGCACTAATCCTATTTCCACAGGGGCCTGTCAATGACACTCCCATGCCACACATCCAGAATCGAACACTCACTAGCTCAGATACCATTGTTTTGGGGCCTATTAGTCAGAGCCTGGCTCTGGCAGTAACACTTTTAAGGTTCCCCTGACACTAGTTGCTGCACATTTACACATAAACCAAAGCCATGAACTCATGAAGGAATAATCCTCACTTCCGTGTCATAGTTTAACTGATGCTCATGCCAGAGCTATTTCTCTGCAAACTGGTACCAGGCTTTGAAAGGCCTTCTAAAAGACCCCTATTTCTTACAATCTATACACTTAGAAAATACAGATTCTCCCCATATCATGGTTCTTTTGGCCGAGCTCCTGGGAACAAAGGAATGGAATGCCTTGCAAGACCCCAAGAAGCTCACCCTCTTGAGCCTTTGAAGAGATACAGGATAGGCTGCAGACCTATCCCTGCTGCAGAAGGGGGGAAAACAAGCATATGTACATATACATACGTATACATATGCATGTGTACATATTTGTACACACAGCTTTGTTTCATGTGTGTGTATACAGATTTCAGATACAGAATACAGTTCTAGAGGCTACATACAGATGACCATGAGCCAAGACTATCAGCATCTCCTGCAGGTTACCTGGTTTGGCACCCTCTACTGTGGGGCTAGCCTCTTACCTTATCTTATTCTTAAGAACAAATACTGATCATTCACTCTGCAAGTTTTCAAATCTGTGAATGATTTTAATCATGCAGGAAAAACATCATTAAAAGAAAGAATTAAGAGTCCAACTGTGACTCTTACTTTGGCAAGTCATATTACATTTTGGGGCCTTTACTTCCCCAATCTTAAAAGAATGGGTTGGACTAGGGCTTGCTCAAGGCCCTTCTGACTCTAGATTCTGTAATCATATAATCCTAATCATGCAAAAGGTGAAAAATAGAAATGCCTGTTCAAAATGACCTATTATGTTCTGTGCCTTCCCCCCAAATTTTTTAACATTGAAAAAAAAAATACTTGACATGATCCCCCTACATCCTACACACCTTTTCCTACCCTGAGGCTGTCAGGATAAGTGAGATCAGGGGCAATGCCTGGAGAAAAGGCACAGCTTTGTGAAAAACCATTAAACCAGAGATTGTAATAGTTTATAAGCAGCTGTAGTAAAATATATGGAATTTTATACCCAGACATATGTTTCTCCTTGTCTGCTGTCCCTCTCTTAGAAATCTGAACAACTCCTACTTGAAATTCTCTCCTGGGCATTAAAGTCAACCTGAGAGTGGTCCTCCTAGGAAAAGTTGTCTACAATAACAAACTGCCTTCCCACCTGCATAAGGCCTTTCAGTTTCCAAAGCTGATTTCCCATCCAGGATTCATAAAAAAGGGAAGGTGACCCCAGATTGTGGGGGGCATTCAAGGCAAAGCAGTCTGGCCTTTGCTCAGGTAATAGGGAGCCACTGAAGATATGTAATAAGTGATGTAACCAATCCTATGAATGAGGTATTGGGGGCTGGGATTCTTGCTCTCATCTTTAAGATTAAGAAAACTGAAGCCCGGAGAAAGACGTTAGATATGTGTCCTGGTGGTATAGGTATAGGACTTGGGTTCAAATCCCCCCTCAGCCACTGATTTGTGTGGCCTCGGGCTGACAAGCTCCTTTTCTCCTTCTCTGGATCCCATTTCCCTGCTTCCATAAAACAGCAGGAGAAACCAACTAGCCAGACCCCTGCTGACTCTAGTCCAGACCCTCTGTCCATGCGGGCGGCCTAAGGCGGCCAGGGCTAGCCGGGGAGCCCGGCGCGTCCCCCTGGGTTCGGGCCTCCTCTGGCCGAAGGCTCGGGGTGCTAGACCTCGTTCCTCGAGGGGGGCCTGGGATCCAGAATGTGGGGTCAGTCACCAAGGACGATGGGTGCAGGGTTTTTTGGGGGTTACATCTGGGGGTCGGGGGACACTAGCCATAGGGAGGGGCAGGGATTTGGGGCGCCCTGGGGTCAGAGGTCACTCACCATAGCGCTTCGAACCGTAGACTATTCCCAAGAGCAGGGCCGAATACCGTCCCGCCTGCGGGAGACACAAGGACACAGACACGGGGGTCAGTGGGAGCCGCGCGTGGACAAGGACGAGCCCTCATACACGATCCCTCCCCCCCGCGCGGGGCCGGACACCCGGGACCAGGGTGTGTGTTGGGGGCGGGGGGTAACCCTGGGCTGCGTCCGACCTTCCCGAGCCTCCTTCTCCTCCTCCCTGTCCTCCCTTCTCCCGGAGGCCTGGGGTGAAGCCAAAGTGGAGAATCACCTTGATGAGCGGAGAGACATTCACGGGCGGCACCATTTTTTTCGCTGACCCTCGACCCGGAAGCAGAAAGAGCAGCCGCCGGGCAGAGACTGCGGGGGGTAAAGGACGGAAGGGGCGTGGTTGAAGAAACGCTAACGAGGACGCAGCAAGCGTGCGCGCCTGGGCAGGAGGGCGGAGTCGGAGCAGCGTGCGCGCCGCCAGTACGAGCTTGCCCGCACGCACGCGCCTCTCCTTTGCTCCTGGGCAGGCTTCGAGGTTGGTTCTTAGGCGGAAGCACTGTGGGACAGTTCTAGGAACCCCGTGTGAAAAACTTGTGTGTGATCTTTTTGTCACCTAGTCCAGTGCTCTGATAAGGGGACCCCTCTCCCCGTGTCCCACAGTTGAGCTGGGATCACACGGTAAGTGGTGAGGAACCCACCACCTTGCAGATTAAAGGGATGGTCAGTGAGCATCTCGAAAGGGAAGCAGTGATCACCAAGGGCCCATTTCCTTTTTTGAGAGGGCTATTGGACAACATAAGATTCTAGCAAAGCATCTGACAGTCTCTCTTGTTTTGTTTTTCGTTTGTTTGTTTTGTTTTGATCTGGGGTTTTTTGTTGTTTTTTTTTGTGGTAAAGGTAGAGAGATGTGGACTAGATTAGTGGTCTCCTAAATGGAAGTAGGGCTGAAAAGACCTGACCCCAGAAGATGAAATGGGTGGCAACCCACCACACCTGCCAAGAGATGGTTGTGATACGTGGTTTCAGCAGCTGCATCTACCCTTATTCCCCAAACTCCCTCAACCCCGCCCCTAACCTCCTCTGCAAAAGCCCTCAACCTTCCCTCCTGAGCCTGACTCACCTCTACACCATCACTGACAACTATCCCATTCTCACTACTCATTCAGCCACCATCCTAGTTTAGGCTGTCATCATGTCTTGTCTGAATTTGAGTAATAGCCTCCACCTCAAGAATCTCCCCTCTCCCATCTCCAATCAATCCTTCACACAATTGCCTGAGTGATTTTTCCTAGAGCATGTATCTGCCCATGTCACTACCCCATCTTTCAAAAATGTCTAATTTTGTATAAGTTTGATAATACATAGTAGTTATTAGTATGTGAAAATTATATATAAATAAATATATATGTATTTGGGGGGGCTTAGAAACCTTTTACTGATGGGGGTGTGCAACCAAAAAAATCTGACTAGCATTTGCTAGGATAATAGTAAAGAGTCAGGTAGGTGGCATGGTAGATAGAGTGATGGCTAAATCCAACCTTAGACACTGAGTAGCTGGGGGACCCTGGGCAAGTCACTTAACTCTGTTTGCCTCAATTTCTTCATCTGTACATTGAGCTTGAGAAGGAAATGGCAAACCACTCCAATATTTTTGCCAAGAAAACCCCAAATGGGGTCATGAAGAGTTGGACATGATTAATCAACTAAGCAACAACAAAAAAGGATGATAGTAAAGTTAACTGGGTTTGGACATAGTAAAATGACTGAACCCAAAGAGTTAATTGTTAATGGTTCCTTGTCAACTTGGAAGGAAGTGTCCAGTGTAATGCCCCAGGGATCTGTGCTTGGCCTTGGCTTTTTTGGGGTTTTTTTTGTTTTTTCATAATGACTTGGATAAAGGAATAATAGTAATTTTTCCTCACATTTTCAGATAACACAAAGCTGGAAAGGATAGCTAACATGTTGGATGATAAATGTAAGATCCTTTGGGCAGGTCAAATTTAAGAGAGATTAATGTGAAGTAATTTTATCAACTTTATAGTTATAGGATGAGAGAGGTACGACTAGACAATCTACTTCAAAGAGATGAATGAATATTTTAGTAGACTCTAAGCTCAGTCTGCGTCAACAGTGTGATGTAGCAATCGATAAACTAATGCTATCCTAGGCTGATAGAGATCATACAGAATATTGAGATTTTACAGATCATATAGAATAAGGGAGGCTATTGTCTCACTGTACTCTCCCAGTCTGACCACACTTATGATACTGTTTTTAGTTGGGATGATCATACTTTAGGAAGGTCATGCACAAGCTGTAGAGTATCCAGAGGTGGGTGACCAGGAGGGTCTTATGAGGAACAATTGAAAGAATGGGGGTAATTACCCTGGAAAAGAGGAGACTTAGAGAAAAGATCTGTTAACTGTCTTCCATTATCTGAAAGATTGTCATGTGGAAGAGAAATTGGGCTTGATTCCAGAGGACAGAAATGAGGAAAATGGGCAAAATGTGGAGAGAAAGAAAATTTCAGCTTGCTGTACACAGTGGGGCTGTTCCAGTCTTCCTTTTATAACCTTAGTATCTGAATTCTACCTTAGAAGATAAACTCACCTTCTGCTTAACTGAGAAATGTCCCGTGTGAGTTCTTGTTTTCTCCACACTTCAAAATCTGTCTTTATCTATCCTTTCCTCCTTTGCTTCAGGCTCACAGGATGTGGTAGCACCTCTCCTCCTTTCTGAAATTAAGTTGCCCTATCTCACCAGGACTGGAAGTCTGATCACTTGTGGCCCAATCGCACAGCTGATTGGCACAGAAGCTTTATCCTGCTCCATTTTTCTGACTTAGGCCAGTTCGACCCACGTTAGGCAGCCTGGTAGCCCTGTACTCTCAAAGGATTACCATAGCTTAGAACTTCAAAACTCATTCAATCCTCCAACCTCAGCCTTCCCAGCAGCAGGGATGACGGGTATCAACCACCTTGCCTGGCCTTCCCTTCCTTCTTACCAAGTCTGATCCCTCTACTCAGGCTAATGATCTCATCTCGTCCTGCCTACTCAGGGACCTCTGTTCATTCCTCTCTTCCCTTTTCAAGTTCTGGAGTTGAACTAGTGATATAAAGTGTGACAGAATCCACCTTGTGAAACTAAAAGAGGCATATTTTATGCAGATTTATAGCCATTCCCCCAAATAAACTTTAAATAAAGCAGGCAGTCAGCAGCTACTGTGTCAGAGTAGGCATCCAGGGGAAGGGACAGGCTTCAGATGTAAGAAAAGCCAGACTTCAAACCCCACGGGACTCTGGGGAATGGCAGGTGGAGACATATCCCTCTCTCCTGCCTGTTTCATCTGCTCTGATATTCCCGGGATGGCCAAACATGACCACGATATTCCCAAGGCACTTTTGCTAAAGATAAAAGAGCCTGGTGGGAGGAGGGGGTAGTGGGGTGGGGACATTGTCACTTAACTCTATACTTTCCTCTCTCCTAAGCCTGGGATAAGTCTTTGGGAGCCGTCTATGGGTCCCTTTCCTCCCTGCTGCTCAGTCAGCAGCCCTCCTGCCTGTATTCTGATCATCCCTCTGGACCCAGTCTCTCATCCCGGGTGCTATCTTTAGAGCTCATTCCTCAGATTCTCCCTGAACCTGTCAGAGACTTCTCCCCCAGAACTGTCATCCCTGACCCTCCGAGGCAACTTAAAGGAGACAGTTGTGCCTCGGGTGAGTCACAGTTGCTGAGGAAGGGTAACAGGGTCTTTTGGCTTCTCTTTGTAATTGCCAGGGAAGAAAGTAGTGGACAGAAAGAAGGAGAAAGCACAGAGACCCAAAGTCTTACATGAAATTCTTACAAAGTGAATGTTCCCAAATCAGTGGGATCACAGAAGTCATTCTATGACCTGATTCTACTGGAGGGGGGGAGGGGGCAGGGTGGGAGAAGGAGGAGACACAAGACCAGTACAATGGCCACATGGAAGAAGGCATTCTGCCTGCCTCTTCCTTCAAACCAGAATTCTTAATGGGATTTTTTTTTAATGTTTCAACAACTATTTCAATAGAGCTGGTTTTCTTTGTAACCCTATGCATTGAATTAATTTAAAAGCATTATTCTGAAAAGAGGTCCTGGGCTATCGCAGACTGCCAAAGGCATTCATATCATTAAAAAAGCCAAGAACCTTTGCTCTCAATTTTTTGGCCCCAAACTCTTAGGTTTTCCATGATTTACATTTTTTTGTTCTTCTTCTAAGTTTTGGGGGTGGGAGGAAGAAGGGATGAGAGAATTAATGCAGATCTCAATACTGAGACGGCTTCTAAGTCTCTCTTGCCCTAAATAGGGCAAGTTTATAGCCCCTTATAGGCCCAGATTTCTCTGCTCAGACAACCTTATTCCTAGATTTCCCTACCCTGAAATGCCACCCTCTCTGCTTAAAGTCCCCTTCCCAAAGCTTTGGTCTTCTTGCTCTGATATTCCCTCTACTTCTCTCTGACCTAACATACCTGATTCAGAGTTCTCTGCAGGCTTAGGTCTCTTAGCTCAGAAACACATACTTCCAGGGTTCTCTGCCCTGAGACAACCCCATCCCATTATCTCCCTGCTCAGATTGGCCTCCTTCCCCCAAAGCCTTCTCTTTGTTCAGAAGCACCCTTCCCCCCAGATTTCTCAGCCCTTAGACCCTTAGACCATCTTCCTTCTCAGAGTGCCTCCCCACAAACTCCCTATATTCAGATATGCCCCCTCTCCAGGTTTTCCTGCTTGAATCTCACCGTCCTACCACCCCCACTAAACACACACAACAGTTGTTCAAGTCCCTGGGGTCTGTGGGTATCTGCAAGCCTGCCCATGTAGGGAGTGGAGCCGAAGATGAAGCCTGAGCTGTCCTGAGGGACTGCCTAGCAGGAACTTATAGACCCAAGGTGCCCCCTCCCCACCACAACAGAGGAGGCCTGTAGAAGGACAGGAAAGTAAGAGCAAGAGCTGCACCAGAAGAAGAGTCAACCCAGAAAAATGGTAAGTGTCACAGGGCTCCGGGGCCCAAGGATGACATCGGGGGGTCCTATAAGAGGCCCCTGGCTACCATCAATTGTGGAGTGTGTCTATACTCTCTGCTTATCCCTTCTAGTTAACTCTTCTAGAGAAGGAAAGCTTGAAAGGGCTAATACTTACACCAAACAGTTCTGAGTTTGGTCACTGCTGACCTCACAATCAGAGAAGGCCCCATGGAGGCTGGAATGGGGTAAAAACTCAATCGTTAGAGGGAGTCCAGTCACATCAAACACCCAAACAAAATTATAGAGTCAGGAGAATACAGGATGTGGGGTGTTTTGTTCTTTTTTTTGAGGGGGAGTGGGAGAGGGTTGTGTACTTTCACTGAGGTAGAGAATTCATTAAGGCAAATAGTATTAGACAAGGCTGAAAAAGGTGCCTGCAGGTTGTGGGGGCATCCAAGGCAGGGGAGTCTGGTCTTTGCCCAAGTAATAGGGAGCCACTGAAGGTATTCGAACAGTGACATGACCAACTTTATGAATAAGAAATATTACTGTGGCTGGAGTCTGGAGGAGAAACGGAGCAAGGACAGAAAGAACCATTAAGAGTCTATTACAGGGGCAGCTAGGTGGCGCAGTGGATAGAGCACTGGCCTTGGAGTCAGGAAGACCTGAATTCAAATTTGACCTGAGACACTTGACAGTAGCTGTATGACGCCGGGCAAGTCACTTAACCCCATTGCCTAGCCCCCAACCCCCCAAAAAAGAGTCTATGACACTGGGCCAGACAGATGCTAATGAGGGTCTGTAAGAAGGGGGTGGTATAGGAATAGAGTGAAGGACATAGGGGCAAGACCATCAGTGGCAGAACTGAAAAGATTTGGTAATGGATTAAATAGGAGGAGCGAAGGAGAGGGAAAAGTCAAAGATATTTCACAGTTATAAACAGGGTGACAATGAGTGACGGCAATACAGACTGAAATAGTCAAGTCGGAAGGAGGAGAATGTCTGGGGGCAAGATAATTAGCTCAGTGCTGGCCATACTGGTTTTAAGAGGTTGGTGGAACCTCTCGTTAGAAATATTCTCTATGTATTTGGACTTGCAGGTCAGGACCGAGGATAAAGATTTGGCAATTATCTGATGGGTGGGGAGGAAGAGAATTAAAACTGTAGGAATGAATGAGATTGCCAAGGGAAAGACTGTAGGTGAGGAAGAGGATCAAGGATACAGCCTTGAGGAATATCAACTTTAAGGGTCAGAAAGGAGGTGAGGAGCCAGCAGAGAAGGCTGAGAAGGTCAGGCGACTGAAGAGAGTGTGATGACTGAGCTGAAAGAGGAAAGAGAATCCAGGAAAAGACTGCAGTCCCCAGTGTGCTGCAGGGAACCAAAAAAGGCCTTCAGCTTGATAATTAGGTCATTGGTGACTTAAAGAATGCAGTGTCAGTAGGGGAGTGGAGTGGAAGCTCAATTACACAGGGCTGAGAAGAAAGTTGGGAGTCAAGTAGTGGAGCCATTGTCCGTAGCTAACTTTTAAAGTAAGTTTAGCAGCGAAGGGGAGGAAAATTATGAGACTTTAGCCCTATGTCAGGGGTTCTTCACCTTTTTTCTGTTGTGGACACCTTGGGAAGCCCATGAACCCCATCTCAGAATAATATTTTTAAAGTCATAAAAATACATAGGATTGTTAAGGAAACTAATTATATCACAACACAGTTATCAAAATATTAAAAAAAATTCACAGATCCCTAGAAATCTATCTGTGGATCCCAGGGTGTGAACAAGAAAGAGTATTTTTTGATTGGGAAGAATGTAGCTAGAGGGGAAGGGAGACATTAAAGGTGCATAAGAAGAAGGGGATGATTCTGGGAGTAAGGTCTTAAAAGAGGCTGGAGGGGATGGGATTCAGGGTGCAGAAAGAATCATTGGTTTGAGTTGGTGAGCCTTGGAATACCTTTTCTTCTTGGGCTGGAGGGAAGGAAGGGAGAATTGGCAATGACACTATTCCCTAGGCCTCCTTGCCCCTGGGGGAAGGAATCCTTAATGCTCTTCGGGGACCCCTTGACCACCTCTGAACTATTGGCTTCCATCTTAGGCCAGCAGGAAGACCAAGAAGAAGGAAGGTGGTGCTCTTCGTGCTCAGAGGGCCTCATCCAATGTCTTTTCCAACTTTGAACAGACACAGATTCAGGAATTTAAAGAAGTAAGTCTCCTTCCCATTTCATCTCCACCCTTTCTCTCTCCCCCTCACCTGACCAGCTCCAAGTGCTCCTAAGAACTTTTCCTTTCAGGGAAACCCAAGGTACACCTACCTGTAAATCTGGGAATCCTTTTGTAAAGTGGAAAAGCAGATTTCTTCTTATGTTACCATCTGTGTCAATCCTGATTCTCCTATTTTGCATGAATTTAAAGTGACACAAGGCTATAGTTTAGGGAAGATGCTAGGGAAATACCTGAGTCTATACAGCATTCTTAATAAAAAAAAAAAGAAACCTAGTTTCTCTCTGTGAGCATAAGCATGAGGACTGAGTCAGCAAAGGGGTTTTAATAGTGGATGCCTTCCTGAGACCTAACAAGGGACTTACTCTCCCCTTCCCCTTTCACTTCCCTCATCCCTGATTTGCCTGGTTTGTTTTCAGGCGTTCACACTCATGGATCAGAACAGGGATGGATTTATCGACAAGGAGGATTTGAAAGACACCTATGCCTCCCTAGGTATGTATTCTCAGAAGGAAAATCCATCCTAAGCTGCTTTGGAAAAAAAAATTTACATGAATGATTTTCAAGAACATTTCATTATGATGATATAAAATTAATAATATTAATCCCTCATGTGCACAGCATTCTGTAGTTACAAAGCCCTTTCCCATCCATCATCTCAACACTCCAGTGAGGCTGGACAGAGATTTAGAGATGGAGTAACCAAGAGTTGCAATAGGTCTTCTGAATCAAGACCAAGGCCTTGTTTCACTGCCATACACCCCTTGCCTTTCTGTTCTTTCTATGTTAAAATAAAATGATGGAATCCTAACATCATAGCATAATCTACATGTTTTGAGACTAACACTTACTTTTAGGTATAGATGACAAGGGCCGTGGGCACAAATGAGAATTGGAGTGGGGAGGCAAGGAATGAATTCTGCTTGGACTTAGCCAAGCCTAAAGGGAGAGCTCACCAGGGTCCTGGTAGAGTGTATAGTCCAAAGGAAAAAGCCAGAGCTTTGGCACAAGGTGGAAGAATGAGAGTCCCAATGGGTAAGGAGCTGGTAGTATCCCAGGAGAATGCTACTGGAGGCAGGCAGCATGGAGAAGAGGATGGCATGGAAGTTTCATTTGAAAATCCCCATGCTCCACAATGAAAGCGAGAGAAGGGCTAAAGAGGGCAGAGCATGGTCATTGAAACAGAGCCCAAGGAGGTATTAACGGAACAGGGAGGGAACCTCAGGTAGGCCACTAGGCTGCCTAAGGAGGTGAGAATAGAAAAATGGAGCAGGTGAAAGCTTCCCTGCTCACCAGTGCTGGGATCATTCTACAGAGTGGCAGCCACATTTCCAGCCTGGGTGCGGAAGGAGACCCAGTCTTAAAAACAAACAAGCAACAACAACAACAACCCTGAAAGCAGCTGAACGAGAGCAGATAGGAGTGGGGAGAGACTTGAGGAGGTAACTTTCCCTGCCCCGCTTCTGTCACATGACTGATGGGAGGCTCCAGTGATGTGATTCTGCTCTTGGAAAGGTTCAGAGCACCAAACAAGGGTGAGCTGTGATATTTATGATGATCATCCATATTATTGTCCCTTCATACATCAATGGGTCCATTATCTCATTGATGTGAGCACTCAGTTGGCCTCGAGCTCAATCCATTCACGTCTCCTCATGCTGTGTAATTCTTGCCCTGCCCTCTCATAAATCTGTCATTGGATCCAGCCCCAAGGCCTTCCTTGAGATGTTTTAACATTCTGTGAATACCATTAGAGCACCCAGGCTGTCCATCTGCTAGCCTTACTCTCGCTGCATGACCAGTCCGCTTCCATTTCTGGACATAAATTTCTTTGATGACTTTTTTTTTTACATCACTTTTCCTATCAGTCATCAGCGATAATGCGCTGCAACCCACTCACACCCACCATGGAGTTCTTCATCATCCTTAGGGGTTCCTGCAGTTTGGATTCTTCCTGCAGTGTGTCATTCCATGATTCACAAGCACTAGGATTCATCACTGGGAGAATAATGGTATCTAAAAGACAGGCTTTTGTTTCAGAGAGGAGCTCGGGGTCACTAAAAACCCTTTGCCATTTCCCAAATGCACTCCATCGTGTTCTGTTCAGCCTATTCTCTTCTGGGCTCTGCCCATTGCCCTTCTGCCCAAGATAACATACTGATGGAGCCATCATTTATTCAAATACTGGTGGCACCTATAATGTCAGCCTGGATGACTTAGGACACAAGACCTAGGAGGAAGTTAAGTCAGAAAGACAGGTGGTGTAATGGATAGAGCACTGGACTTGACAATTAGCTAACTGGCCTCCAAACCTGTTTCTGGCACTTAATAGCGAGATGCATGGTCCTGGGCAAGTCTTAATATCTCTCAGTTTCTATTTTCTCATCAGTAAAATGAGGGGCTTAGACTACATGGCACCTAAGTCACATCTAAATTTATGAACTTATATGATAAATGATGGCTCAGGGTCACATAGTTAGTAAGTGTCAGAAGTGGGATTTGAATCCATACCTTCCCAGCACCATGCCCAGCATACTATCTACTACATCATGCTGCCCTTACTAATTATTGTTATCATTATGATTAAATAGGCTGGAGGTATGGGAGATAAGGTCTGGCTATTTAGGAGGATGGGGGGGATGAGACACAGTCTTAGAGGATTCTGATGCTAGTGCCATTTTTTTCCCTTTATAATTCATGTGCAGGAATGAAACATGTGTGTCTCTACCTTTTTGCCTTTGTCCCTCTTTCCCTACTTATCTATGTCTGTCTTTCTCTTTATCCTTGGCTCTGCCCTCTCCCTCTCCCTGACACCATCTTTCTCCTTTTCCTGGTTTCTATCTTGTGTTCCTTTTGTCCTGGACTCTCCACCCCCATTTCCCTGTCCCTCTTCCCCCTTCTCCCTCTCTTTCTCCTCCTGCCTCTGTCTCTCCCTTCTTCCCTAAACCTCTCTTTCTACCTCCCTCTTCTCTCCCCATACCTCTCTCTTCCTCTCTCTTCCCTTCCCTCTCTCTCCCTTTTTTTCTCTCCCTTCCTCTCTCTTCCCTTCTCCCTCACTCCTCCTTTCCCCCTCACTATATCCCCCTCTCTGTCCTTTCCTCCTTTTCTCTATGCACCCCTGGTCCCTTTTCCCCACTTCCCACAATTTGTCCCTTTCTCTCCCTATCTCTATCCCGCCCCACTCTCACCTTCCTGATACAGGCAAGATTAATGTTAAAGATGATGAGCTGGATGCCATGCTGAAGGAGGCCACAGGCCCCATCAACTTCACAATGTTCCTGAACCTGTTTGGTGAGAAGCTGAATGGTGAGTTCACTGGGTTGTAGCTGAGGTAGAGGTCAAATGGCCTGCTGGCCCCAGGCGTTGGGCTCCTGCTAAGCATCTCTTCAGGCCAGCCCCACCAGAAGCTAAAGGAATTCCAGGAACTTCTTCTTTTCCTGGGACAGACTTGTTCATGTTTCATTGCCCAGATGGAATGTGGACCATGTGCTCAGTCCTTGCTTCGCCTTAGCCTTCAAAGGCTCAGGTCCCTTCCTCCAGGAAGCCCAAACCTGACCACCCAGCCCACTCTGATCTCACCCTCCTAAGCTGCAACAACAGTTAGTGTCAGAATGACACTGGCTAGCTGTGACCTCCTCTTCTCCACTGACCACAAGCTCTTCCAGAGTGTTTTCCTTCCTCATTGCTCCAGCCCATGCTACTGTCTCCCATTCTTCTTCCTTTCCTTCCTGCCACCACATTTTTTCCATGCCTGTAGTTCACAGACCAGCACCAGCATAGACTCTTCTAGATCTGCTGCTCCTTGGTCCCCATCAAACTGTCTGCTCCTTCTGGCTCTCCCACAAAAAAGCAGTAATGAGATATAGTAGAAATAATAATATTTCTTTTTTTTCACATTAGTCATGTTGTTAGGGAGAATTAGAACCAGTAGAAGGAACCACAAGAAAGAGGAAACAAAACAAAACAGAAGAAAAAAAAGAGCAAATAGTATGTTTTGATCTGCATTCAGACTCCATAGTTCTTTCTTTGGATGTGGATAACATTTTTTTTATTAATTTATTTTGATTTATCAACAATCACTTCCGTAAGTTTTTGAGTTTTAAATTTTTCTCCCCCTCCCTCCCCACCTCCCTCTCCAAGATGGCATGCAATCTGATATAGGCTATACATATACATTCCTATTAAACATATTTTCACATAAATCATCTTGTAAGGAAGGAGGAACCACCAAAAAGAGGAAACAAAACAAAACAGAAGAAAAAATAGCAAATAGTATGCTTCGATCTGCATTCAAACTCTAAAGTTCTTTCTTTGAATGTGGAGAGCATTTACCATCATGACACCTTTGAAGACGTCTTAGATCCTTACATTGCTGAGGAGGGTTAAGTCTATCAATGTTAGTCATCACATAATGTGGCTGTTACTGTGTACAATGTTCTCCTGGTTCTGCTCACTTCACTCAGCATCAGACCATACAAGTCTTTCCAGGTTTTTCTGAAGTCCGCCTGCTCATCGTTTCTTATAGCACAATATTATTTCATTACATTCATATACCACAACTTGTTCATTCCCCAATTGATGGGCATCCCCTCAATTTCCAATTCTTTGCCACCACAAAAAGAGCTGCTATAAATATTTTTGTACGTGTAATAATATTTCTTTAAGGTGAGCTGGGCACTTGCTTCACTACAACTCTGTAAGGTAACAAGTACAAACATAGCACCCCCATTTTATAGATGAAGGAACTAAGGCTCAATGAGATTGTGGCTTTCCCAGAGTTAAGCTGAAGAGCTGGAATTTGAAACCTGGTCACCTGATTCCAAGCGCAGCACTCTTTCCACTATAGGAAAGTGGACCCTAGGAGTCAGGAAACCAGGGTCCTCTAGTCTTGAATCTCCTACCATTCTTCCGTGTGCCCTTGAGCAAGTCCCTTCCATTCAGTTTCTTCTTTAAAATAAAGGGGTTGGAGTAGATGGCATCTGGGATCTCTTTGAACTCAGGCAGTCTGACTTGGTCCAGGCCTGGACATTCCAGAGGAAAGGAAGGCTCAGTTAGAATCTCTCACAAGGTTTTAGCTAATTTCATCTTTCTGGTTGTTCCTGCAGGGACAGATACAGAGGAGACAATACTGAATGCCTTCAAGATGCTGGACCCAGATGACAAAGGGAAAATCCACAAGGATTAGTAAATCTCTTCAATTTGTCTCTAGAATATGGGGATACAGGGATGGAGGGATGAGGAATATGGCAGGATGGATTAAGGGGTTGTAAAAGGTTCCTGGTCACAAAAAGTGGGGGAAAAAGTCAGGAATGAGGGCCAGAGGAAGTAAGGGAGAGACAGGGGACTTCAAGGTCCAGATCCTCAGGAGTAAGGGATGACCCTGCTGAGAGCTAACATCAGGCCAGAAGGTTGGAGGGAGGTGGAAACTCACTTCAAATGGATTCTGGGGATTCTGAGTGTGTGTGTGTGTGTGTTTATGGATAGATGACACAAGTAATCTGTTCACCTGGTGGAAAGCACACTTTTAATACATAGTTCTGATAGAGACTTGATTTCTTAATGGTTCCATTTCTGTAACTCACATAAGCTGCTGAAAAAATTCATCCCCTGGAGGCCAAAGTTCCAGGGTTGAATCTGATTGGTCATTGGGATATTGTGATGTTTATCTGAAAAAGGTTGAACTAACCAGGATGATTTTCCCTTCTGCTTTTATTAGCATAAAGCGTCTGCTGATGTCCCAGGCTGACAAGATGACTGCAGGAGAGGTTTGTTTTTTTTCTATTGCTCTTCCTCCAGTGAACATGTCTAGAGACTGTGTATGTCACCTTTGCATTAGAAAGTAGGGCTATGTATTGTCTAGCAGAGGCCGAAATCCTGAGGTGCCAAGGCATACTTGAAACAGACAGGTCTTTACTGGCGGGTCTCCTGCATATGGGGTCTCTTCCAAGGCAGAGGCTCCTGGGGGGCCTAACACAAGAGAGAAGGGGGGAAGGGTCCCAACAAGGATCAGTTACCCAACTCTAACTATTAGGTACATCCTTCCCAGGTAAATTAAAGTCTTATGGATGACTCAAGAACCTGCTTCATTGAGTGTGTGGCTGCTATAGGGTTTGAGAGTTCTGTGTAGCCACAGCTACAGTGGCTTCTGGGTCACTGTAATGCTCCATGAATCTTCCCCTTGGCCTTATTGCTATGGTAGTTTACTATGTCCTGAGCTTTAGCTGGGGACTCTGTCCTGGGCACTCAGAGGCTGTCTAGTTGTCCAGCAGTCCAAAGGTAGCACACAATGTTCTCTATGATGAGATCTTGGGGGTATCACTGATGCCCTCAAGCCACGGTTAATCCCTCCCTCCACTAGAGGGAGGCCAAGGCTGGTATGTGTGTGTGTCTGCCGAGCAAGTCATCCAAGGCTAAGTATGGGGAATGGGAGGAACATGGGAGCAACTGCTTTTCTTGTGTAAACCAAGTTTCTCCCATATGACCAATTCCCTTGAGAGCACCTGTAGCAGGGGTTTTTAACCTGGGGTCTTCAGGGATTCCATAAACTTGGATGAGAAAGAAAGAACATTTTTTATTTTGACATAATTGGCTTTCTTTATAATCCTATATATTTTATGAATTTAAAAATATGATTCTGAGAAGGGGTCCATAGGGTTCACCAGACTGCCAAAGGAGTCCATGAGACACAAAAGGTTAAGAAGTTCCAGTCGATAGCCAGTTCATTAGGATGATTGTAATAGCTATTGTATGGTGGAGATTTACTCTTGGGTTTTGTAGGATTAAAGATGGAAGTCGTGAATAGAAAATAGTCTTGGAACTTTAATGGACTCAAGATGAGTTGACCAAGTGACATGATAGTTAAAAGGTCTAATTCAACAAAGCCATAGTAATAGAGGCATAATAACCATGTTGAAAGAAGTGATAGTCCCACTGTCCTCTGCTCTGGTTAGACCACATTTGGACTATTGTGTTCAACTCTGTACACCACATCTTAGGAAGAACAGTGACAAGTTCTTCTACAAAATTCCCACTAGAAATACTTACAGTAGTGTGCAAGTAGCCATGGGTTCTCAAAGGCACGGTTCAAGTTCAGGCTGGATCTACCATGCTGGAAAGGCTTCAGGTACAATCCTAGCAGCAGATGTTGTCTGTTTCCCAAAGGGCCAACCTACCTAAGTATAGAAGGGCTTATCACTAGCAGGCTGGGGGATGAACTCTTTTACTAATACAACCCATGAAACAAAGAAAAATATAAATTGATCTTTCAGGTTCGTGCAGTCCTTCCACTTGCAGAATAGAGCCAAAAAACAGGCAGTAGATCTCCTTACCAATTAAAGAGGCATGGAAGGAACAACATGGATTTTGAATATAAACTCATTTGTAAAACCTTATAAAGGAGGAGGTGGAAGATCCTTAGTCATATCTTGTCATAAAACAGCAAGAAGTCATGGAGGGGAAAACAGGTCTAGAGAAAGTTTGGAGTGAGAACCATTTAGGCCAGACCATCCCAAGAAATTTATAAATGGAGCTAGAAGTAGGACAACAAACAAACAAAAAGAACAGAAAAGATCTGTCAATATTTCTGTAACAATTTCTTCCCCACCAATCACAGTAGAGCCACTATATCTAGATTCAAACCATCTCCATTGGCATTATGCTGCAGGAGGAATTTGAAATGTTAATAAATCATGTAAAAGACAGGAAGGGCAACTGGAACAAATCAGGTATATATAGCTGGGGTCTATGCTGGAGGCCACACCATTTTGAGGGCACAAGGGAACAAGTCTCAAGATAGCCAATGGAAGCGAAAATACTGAAGAGTTGGGGGAAGGTCTTGGATAGTATTACTACAGAAAAAAGTCAATCAAGAGAAAATCAGTATCTATTGATCTATATCCCTACTTCCTCATCTCTGAAAGAAGTCTTTATGAAAGGAATCTATATAAGTATCAGGGATGTATTTGATGAAAATATGAGAAAGAAGAAGGAAGACTTTTGTAAATGATATTCTACAGTAGACTGCATTTTGACAGTCCCAAAATTTGCTTTAAGAAGTTAAAAAGATAAGATCCCACTGTGCTTATTGTTTCTTGACTACCAAACAAAATTGATTTGGAAGAGCAGAATGAAGTCATAAAGGTTCTCCTCCAACCAGGTATTTTCTTTGCCTATGTGAAGGTCACACTAGATCTCAGGAGAAGTAACAAAAGTTTGCTTGATTATCTTCTGATTATTTGTAACAAATGGGATATAAAACAGGGAGATATGGGCTCGCTAAAGATGTTTGCAATTGTCATGGAAGATGTCCAGGACAGAATCCAAATGGAAGAGGGATTCCCCAGAGATGGTGAGATCCTCTGCTGAGCCTCATTACCAATGATCTTGTACTGATATAATCAAATCTCTGAGTCAGAGATTCCTAAATGAGTTTCTGAAAAGATTTTTAAAAGTTGCTTAACTGTCCTCAGAGATAAAAACAGGTGGATGAAGCATGCCTGTTGTTCAGATTATTAAAATTACATAATATGTGAATATATGATTTTCCAAATATTAATATTTAAGTTAAAAAGTTGATGCATAATTCATCTTTAAAATGTCTTAAAAATTAGTTTTAGGAATTCAGTTAAATAGTTAACCCATTCAACTGCTCCTTTATTGAGGACATCTAGTGGATAGTGGAGAGTTGGGTCTAGTGTCAGAAAGACCTGAGTTCAAATCCAGTCTCATATATTTACTAGATGTGTGACCTTGGGCAAGTCACTTAACTTCTTCCTATCCCAGTTTCCTCAGCTATAAAATGGAGATAATAGTGGCATCTATCTTCCAGGGTTGTAAGAATTTAATGTTAATTAGTTAATTAATATTAAATTATTAATATTAATAATATATTAATGATATGAAAGTAATTAAATTATATATTTGTAAAGCATTTAGCAGAGTGTCTGGCACATAGTATGATTTGCCTCCTTCAGCACATGTACTTTGAACATATGTAATGTAGATGGTAGCACAATGGATAGAGCACTGGTCTTGGAGCCAGGAAGACCTGAGTTCAAATCTGGTCTTAGACACTTACTAGCTGTGTGACTGTGGGCAAGTCATTTAACCTCTTGTTCTCAGTTTCCTCATCAGCAAAATAGGGATCACAATGGCATCTACTTCCCAGGGTTATTTTCAGGATCAAATGAGATAGTAATTGTAATGTGCATAGCACAGTGCCTGGCCCGTAATATCACGCATTTTAGCCTGTGTGATTCTTATTGTCGATGTCCTCCGACAAATCCTTCATAAAGAATCTGGCCACTACCCCCTCGCCAAGCCCCTGCGACCGCGGACTCTTTTAATATCTTCAGGATATCAGTGTAGCACACAGGTTGTCTCTTTGTTGGCTTCCTCCTCCCCTCCTCACCCCCATTCATCTGCTGTGTGACCACCCTAAGAGACGTCACGTATGTCCTTGGGAAAGTCTTTTATACCACTTTTTTGTGCAAGTTTTTGGTGTCGTCTTTAGGTGACTTATGCGCACCAAGGCTCTTTCCATCACCTACAGGATTACTTGTCATTTTGATTCTTCTGAGATCATGGTATTCCGTAATCCACAGACATATTACCAGGAAAATGTTGGTGTTATAAAATGGGTCTTTGTGCTAGCAAACAGTTTGGGATCATTAAAGATTCTGTGCACTTTCCCAAATGCAATTCATATGTACTCTCCTATTCAATTCTGGGCCCAGCTCATTATCCATCTGTAGTGACAGAGATAGATAGATAGATAGATAGATAGATAGATAGATAGATAGATGGATGGATGGGTAGGTAGATGATAGGTAGAGGGATAGATAGATGGATATAGAGATAGATGCATAGATAGATGATAGGTAAATAGATATTGAAAGCGAGAGAGAGAGGGAGAGAGAGAGAGAGAGAGAGAGAGAGAGAGAGAGATTCAATGGGCTGTCCCTTCAGCTCCATGTTAATCCGGATAAAAATAGGCTTTTCATCAGTTTTGTTATTCTCACGGAGACAGTTAAGCTAATTTCTTTTGCATTGCTATGAATTTTACTAAAGAAAATTTGTAATGTTTCAGGGGCGTTGTCAATTAGTTTGGTAACATCAGTGAGTTCTTCAGTCAACCAACAAGCAATTATTAAGTGCCTACTATGTGTCAGAAACCATGCTGGGAGCAAAAAGCTTTAAGTTTTATGTCAGAGTTTTGTGCAATTTTAACATATACAACGGAGATACCAGCTTTGAGGAATCTAAAGTTGCATTTTTTTTACTAAGTAAAATATTTATATATATAAAAAAACAAAATCAGCAAATCACGCAGCAGGATCTTTTATTATATATACCTCTCAGTCAGTTTTGTGATTGTACAAATGGGTTCTTCCATGGAAAATCATATCTGAAACACAATCCTGTCTATTGTTTTCTGACTCCAAGGCCAGTTCTCTATCCACTACGCCACCTAGCTGCCCCATCCTGTCTGTCAAAATTGTCAGGTGGTGTTTTAAGCAATCCAAGTCCTCGGTACTAGGCACACAGTAAACCCTTAATAAATGCTTTTTGACTAACTGACCTAACGAGGGGGTTTAATTGTTGAGGAGACTAGATAGCCACAGAAACACTGGCAGAGTCGTTGCCCTCCTGGTTTCATTTACAGATGTTCTCATGATGATGTGGCTTGGCTGGCTTTCTTACCAGGTTTTCTGCAGGCTCTTTTTTCTTCTCAACTGCTTTTCATTGATTTGTATGGCAATTCAGCTCACAATCTTTAATCATCCCCCTCCCCAGTGTTTTGCAAATTATGTTTTCTAAACTGATGTTGCCCTAGGCCCTAGGCCCTGTATCTCTACTTGGCTAGAAGACAAGGGTTTTCTTGGCACTTTCTGCCTCATTTTATTTTTACATTAGTTAAGCTTCTCTAAGAAAAGTCAGTATTCAGAATCAATGTTTTTGGTTTTTTTTCCCCCACTTTCCATTTTTTAGAGTAAACACCTTGTTTAAATAGGTCAGGCTGTTGTCATTATACTAAGTATCTTTTTCTCATCTTTACGCTCTTTAAAAAAATTGGTCTTTTCTATTGATCTAATCAATAATCCAAATACACATAGATAACTTGTTCTGAAAATGCATACCACACTGAGGAGAAGTCTTTATAGTAAATTGAACTTTTGGCAATGTTGTGTAGTATTTCACTGGTTTAACACCTTCTGATTCTTTTCTTGAAGAAAGTATTAAGGATGAAATGAGGCTTCTGAATAATCTATAAGCTTTTGGTGTATTCATTTTTTGACTTTGAATCATTATTTTTAAATATTTTTCATTATCTTCCAACTCTTCACCATTTTTCTCCCATGCCCATTTTTGTACTGAAGTCAGAATATGTTGACTTGATTTTTACCAAGGTCTTCATAGCATTACTTTATCCTCTACAATGGAATTTTGCGTATAAATTTCAATTATCTTTTTAGTGGTCCATTTAATTATGTTCATCATAGGCAATGCAAAGCGAGATGACCAATGGCCCATGAAATTATGTTTTTTTTTTCTTGGCTAAGGGTACATAGTGGAACTAGGCTAACTCTTATCTGCTTTTCCTAGGAGTTCCTGTGAGCCGTTTAGCTACAACTTGTGCATGTCTTTTAGTTTCTTTTATAGTGAGAGTGTCATTATAGATATGGTTCAGTTCTTCCAGTTGCATGTTCATTCATCATTAAAGACTTCATATTAAAAATACAAAGTTAAACTATTCATAGACAAGTCCAAAAATGTTATTTACCATCATTAATCCTCCCTTTCCCACAAATATACTGAAACAGAAACAGGAAGTTGCACAGAACTAACAGCCATTTTCTATTTTTATCTGTTTCATGAGTTAGGAATGAAAGATGGTCCGAAAAATTGATGACCGAGTAGGCAACCTTTGGGTGATGAACCCTTACAAACTGAGCTAAGGTTCTTGGATATCAAACACAGTCTTTCTCCAGGTCTCTACTTAAACTCTTTCTAGCTTGATCTTAGAGATTACATTGCTTCTGCAATACTGGAGTGAGGTCTGCAAAATGAGGAGGCACCAAAGGAGGACTTCAGTGGAGGATTTGTGGAAGAGTGACTAAGACTTCTGCTTGGCCCTGGAGAACAGAACTACAAGAAGTGGATGGAAGTTGCAGAGGCAGATTTTTGACTTGCTATAAAAGGAGGAAGTGTTAGGAATAACAACTATGATCTGTGCCAAAGTGGAACAAGTGACCTTGGTAGAGAGTGAGTTCCCTGTTACTCGAGGTGTTTTAGCAGAGGCTGTGGCCTTTCATCAGGGATGTAGCTGGGATTCACATAGCATTTAGACTGGATGGCCTTTGAAATTACTTCCGACCCTCAAATTCTATGATTTACCCTAAAATTGCAATGGTTGATTCTCCTAATATAACATAGACCTCTGCTGTGGAGCCATAGCCCTTTGCCAGTTCCCAGTAAATGGGTTTAAGGCTTGGGGATTAGTCCCTTTGATGGGCCATTTTGTGACTTTGCCTTTTTCTTCATCTTTTCCCCTTGAGCACAAGCTTATTGCCCCCCAAGTTCCTTGTGTTCTCCCATCCTCTTCTTCAATTTCCATCAAATTCAGACAAAACATACTTAACATTTGAAGCTATTTTATACAAACACATGAAACCTCATCAGCTTTCTTGAAAAACCATTCACACTTATAATAATTAAGGTCACAAAAATATGTAAACAGCATCTCTTTACTAAAAATAACTAGAGTGAATAACTGGGGGGTTGGGGGTGGGAATCGAAAATCTGGAACTTTATTTGCTGCCATTCATTGAATGTCCAGAAAGGGGAAAAAAGACAAAACTACGGCATGGAAATCATGTGGAGACTTACTCTTTTCAGAAAGTGATGCTTTAAGTGGATCCCGGTTTTAGATAATCCAGAGTGTGGGCGTGAGTTCAATCTTCCATCTGTCTGTGTGGGAAATGTTTGCTGAGTAAACTATAGTGCCCAGGGCCATATTACTTGAGAGAGCAAACTTTTTAAGGACTGTTTCCTTGCATATAACTGAGGCAAAGATGCAGTTTAAAAAGAGCTTCTGAGACTTGAATAAACTAACATTTTACTCAGACAGGTTTAGCCCAGCCCCACACAGTATTTCCACTCCCCCAGGTCGGGGGCTGTCTCTGGTGGGGATAGAGCATGGCTATGCCTCTAATTCTACTGTCCTTATTGGACAGGGACCCCACCCCCAAATGCTCTTTCTTCTTCCTTATTAATCTGTTGCGGTGTTGCTATTCCAGGGCTTGTCTAAACCCTTCTTGAACCTGCTTCTATTCTCAGCCTCTTTACTAGCTCAGACAACAGCAATTGCTTGCCTTTTCCTAGTCCTATGTGAGTAAACAGAGACAGCCCGGCCTATTGGATACTGATGTCAGGAAGAGCTGGGTTTGAGCCCTGCCTCTGGCACCTCTTAGCTGGGGGATCCCAACCAAATCACTGAGCCTCTCAGCGCCCCAGGCAAATTACACTAGTAATTCCCTATACTGATGAAATCATAGGTCTCGACCAACAAAACAGTGAGCAAAGCCTGTACCTGCATACTCAGGCTGGTAATTATCAACCACCAGCATTCTCTTTTCTCCCTTATCAGTCCTAGTGAGCCTCCAAATGAAGTGAGTGAAACCACTTTGGAAGATGCTTCCCTTCGGTTCCCTCCCTCCCAGGAGGCCTATGGGATGGAGGCAGTGCTGTCTGCCTCTCCCGGTGCCTCGCCTGTGTCAGCCCCAGCACACCACCGTGAAACTTTATTGTCTCTAGCATGCCAGCATCAGGTCTGACCCAGCCCTAATGTGCTGCCGGCTCATCTACCCCTGCTATTCCTCCCATGCCATCACAGAAAGCGATGTGACCCTGTTCGTTAGAGTGTCCTGACATGATTTTCTTTCTGAACCTCCCACAGATTGATCAATTGTTCCAATTCGCTTCCATTGATGCAGCTGGAAACCTGGATTATAAAGCTTTGAGCTACATCATCACCCATGGGGAGGAGAAGGAAGAATAACAAGAAGTCGGACTGGGGGGAACATTGTCCATTCAATAAAGGTTATTCAGCAAACACAGTCCTGATCTGACTGCCCATATTTGGTCCCAGAATAAGCCCCATCAGTTCTAAGCTAAGAAAGTTCTAGTTCTGAAATATATCCAGTCTCCTGGCCTGCCCTGCGTGCCCCAAACCTGGGGAGTAGGGCAGAGGGCTGCTCCTGAACTTACCCAACAACCTTGTTCTGGGGGTCAGTAACTCTCACCAGAGCTCATCCTTAGGGTCATTGACTCCCACAGGAATTCTGTCTTGGGCATGGTAATACAGAAGCCTAGAAAAACCATTCTAATCTGGAACAAAAGACCATGGTTTTATAGACTTTTAGAGCTGGAAGGCAGGAAAGTGAGGCCCAGAGAAGTTATTAGGCTCACACAGATAATAAATGGCAGAGCCAGGATTTGAACCCAGGTCCTCTGACTCTAAATCTAGTATTCTTTCCATTGTTGTTCAGTCATTTCAGTTCTGTCCGATTCTTTGTGACCCCATTTGGAGTTTTCTTGGCAGAGATATTGAAGTGTTTTACCATTTCCTTCTCCAGCTCATTTTACAGGTGAGGAAACTGAGTCAAACAGGGTCACACAGCTAGTGTCTGAAGCCAGATTTGAATTTGTGAAGATGAGTCTTCCTCACTCCAGGCCCAGTGCTTTATCCGCTGTACCACTTAATTGTCCCACTCTTTCTATACCACCACATAAGAAGGGGTGGACACACATTTGTGCTCCAGTCCTATTGAGGCAGCTGAGAGGCACGGTATAGAGCTCTGAACTTGAGATCAGGAAGACTCAAGTTCAAATCTGGCCTCAGACACTTACTAGTGGTATGACCCTGACAAGTCACTTAACCTCTGTCTGCCTCAGTTTCCTCAATTGTAAAATGAGGATAATAATAGCACCTACCTTGCAGGGTTTCTATAAGGATCAAATGAGAAAGTATTTGGAAAATACTTAGTCCAGTGGCTGGCATTTAGTAGGCACTTAATAAATGCTTGCTTCCTTCTCCCCATTGTCATATGCACAGGATGAAGGACATGCCCTCACATACTGGGATTTACCTAAAACCTGAGGGCTTCTGGTCACCAAACAAGGTCTGGTCAAAAATCCTTCAGCTTCCTGGTCAAAGGACCTTTTAGGACAGGACTTTGGCCTAGACCATGGCCACTTGAAAGAGGCTTGCTATGTTCCCCAGGCTGAGATGAATCTAGTGAAGAGCATTTCCATGCTGAGACCTTGAAACAGGTTGACTTCACCACAGTGGGCACAGGAGCTTAGAAGCTTTGTCCCAAATTACATTCCTTCACAAACTCTGGCATCGAACTTCTCCCAAGTGTTGAGAGTTTTTCTAGTTCCTGGAATGACATTTTTCTTCAGTGCCTGGACTGAAGACTCTCCTTAGTACATGTAATGAACTCTCTCTCTCCCTCTCTTCCTTCTCTCCTCTCTGTCTGTCTCCTGTAAGAAGAAATCCTTCCTCCAATGTTATATGTGATGGGTCTTTTCCTTTCTCAATATGGATTCTCTCCTGCTGCCTGCTATAAAGTCTCTTCTAGGTGTATGGACTAAACTCTCCTCAGTGCCTTCTCTCTCTCTCTGAACAGTAAAAAAAAGTCTGTCCCCCTAGCCCTCATTGCTGATTTGAGGTCTTTCCCTAAGTGCCTAGCATAGAGGGTCTCCCCACTGCCTTCTGGATAGATACCATACCCCAAAAGCTGCTTTGGTTGCAGCAGGCCAAGAGTCAGACCCTTGGCAGTGCCTCTCCAGCTGAGCATCTGCCTTGTCAGAGAATACCAGTGGGCTAGGAAGAAAGAAGGATCAAAGAAACAGTTTTCAGAAAATGTTTCCTGCCAAAAAATTCACCAAAGTTGTTCATGAGGAAAAAAAATGTAAAACCAGAAGTCTGATACAAGTGTTAGGAAGTAGTAGGAAGTTAAGACTGTAGTATATCTGGGTCACTGAGCCAAAGCTCCATCTTCCTCATCCTTTCCAGCCCTGTGGGGCTTGTAGGTAACGTCGGCTTCTGCTTGAAGCCGCTTATATGATGTGTGGAAGAAAATAATGAAGATGCAGCTGTAGATACAGGATAGCCCAGCCAACAACAACATGGAGTCTGAAACCCAAGACAAGAAAGATAAGTTAGGCTATGTAAACCTACCCTGGATTATGACATCTGGTCATAAGAAATAGTCACATGAAGCCCTGGCCTCGAATGTCCCTATCCCATCTTACCCCACCCTTCTTCATGAGACACATAGTCACAAGCCAACCCAGGTCACCTGATGATTAGAAGCCAACATCCTCATATGGGCCAATGAAGCTTCTCCTTATGACCTAGCCCCACAGTGAGCCCTTTCCCTAGTCCTACCCTTGACCTCAATCCTAAACTGTTCCTTGATCAAGGCCACACTGTAAGCCCTGATAATGGCCCAACAATGATCCTCAGTTCTACTATAAGACTAAACTCTCACTTGGATTCAGATTGAGCCCTAACCCCAAACTGAACCCTGACCTTGTAGCATGACTGAGTATCAATCTGGCCCCAGATTAAGACCTGTTATCTCCCTACTTCCCATGAATATTCTAGGGTTCATTCCTTACTCTGCTATTGCTATTGCCCTATCTGGAGTTTCTACTACATGAATCTGAGTCTCCATGAATCCCAACTTTGAGGCTCAGCCCAGGCCCCTCCTCCATACTGTCTTCTCTGACAATTCCAGCCCTCCCTGATACTTTTCTTCTCTGAATTCCCACATCCCTGAGCTTGCCAGTTCACTCATCTCACATCTCAACCTGCCTCATACAGGTCTTCACTAAAATGTATTATATGTGAATTCTAAATCTGAATCTAAATATCTTGAATCTGAATTCAAGAGGATGCCTATTGCTGCATAAGGACTTAAACTTTTCACCACTCAACAGCACATGTGAGTCCATGGGGTAAAATGGTAGGGCTAGAAATGGAAATGTGAGGAAAGGGTGGGAGAAAAGTAAGAGTGGCTCATGAAGAAGGGTATGGTGAGATGGGATAGGCTAGGCTAGGCCAGGATTGAACGGTATAGGCCTAGGGTACAATGAAGGACAGTGGGATTGGCTGGGAAAAAATGAGGCAGAATGTGGTGGTTTGAAGTAGGATGGGACAGAATAAGATAGGGTATAATGGAGAAGAATGGCTTTTAGAATGTAAGATTCTTCAAAGCATGGACTTAATCTCTGTATTCCTAATGCCTAATAGAATACCTTACACATAGTAGGCTCTTTATAAATGTTTGTCGAATTGAATCCAATGTGGCTTGGCATGGGGCAAGCAGGATAGGGAAAGATGAAAATCAATGTATGTCTGGTAGTTTATGGAATCTAGTCCATCCCCGGCCTTAGTTGCCTGAGTTCCAAGGCTTAGGCCCATACAAAGTGCCATTTACTCACTTGTCCAGTCGAGGACGGTGCCTTCCTGCAGCTGGCATGTGGAGGGGCCAGAGCCACTGCGCCGTATTGTCAGGGCTTGTAACAGGACCATGGTGATCACACCTTCAATTTGTCTGCAGCACAGATACAGCCAGAGCCTGAGTCCTTGTCCTTCCTGGACTCCTGACTCTCAATTCTAAAGGCACTTTCCCACCCAAACAGACCACACAACTCCCCAGGCATCATGGTACAAAATTAGGCCCTTACTCTCTAGGATCAACAAGGCCCTTGGTCATGGCTGCTCTTTCTCTCAGGCAGCCTTCTAAGCTAATTCTGTTTTGGGGTCCCACTGTCACTCTGGTCAGGGACGGGGAGGGGGGAGGAATGAGGAGAGAAGTTCAGAGAAAAAGTGTGAGATATCTGGGTCTGAAGTGGGTATAGAGATGGAAAGACAGGGATGAGGGAATGGGATCAGGAGAGGAATAGTGGGCAGAGTGAGATACTTGGGAAGGGCATAGGGGTGGCTACACAGGATTGGAAGAGGTCAGGGATTCCTGATAGACTGGGAAGATGTTAGGAGACAGCATTTAGAGAGGATGTAGGGTTGGCTATACAGGATTCGGCAGAAAGAAGGAAGGTAAGAATGAGACATTTGGGTGATTGTAGGGATAGTCACACAGAGTTGCCAGGGAAATGGGAAAGCAATAAGGGAAGCAAAATGGTGTTGGCAGAGAGAAAGACAGGAATGACACACTTAGGAAGTTGTGTAGTGGTCACACAGGGTTAGCAGGTAGATGGGAGGCTATAAGGAGGATCACGCGGGTTTGGCAGAAGACAGAATGTGCAGATGGCTGGACATGAACAGAGGCAAGTTTGGAACACTTGGGAAGGATGTGTCTCTGGGGAGTTAGCAGAGGACCAGGGCAGTACTTACCCTATCACAAAGACCAAACCCGTGGAGGTACCTTCTCCTACTGGATAGGAGCATTCAACAGCTAACTCAAAGGAAACTGGGCAAATGGAAAAACCAAAGAATCCTAATAGAGAGCAGACCACAGCTATCCACCCCTTCTGGCCCTGGATCTGAGACACCTGGAGCAGAGATAGCACAATCATTAGGAACACTGCCCAGCCCCTGCTTCCCCCCACCCCCATACACGCCTAGGTCTGTGGCTGTAATGAAGGGCTGAGCCAAGACAGGGGCAAAAGTTCTTTTCTTTATTTTCTCTTTTTCTAATTTCTTTTTCCCCCACTTAATGGTATTTTATTTTTTCCAACTACATGTAAAGATAGTTTTCAACGTTCATTTTTATAAGATTTTGAGTTTTGAATTTTTTTCTCCCACTCTTCCTTCCCTCCCCCTTCCCCAAATTGACAAGCAATCTGATATAGGTTATACATGTACAATCATATTAAACATATTTCCACTTTAGTCATATTGTGAAAGAAGAATCAGAACAAAAGAGAAAAATCCCTGGAAAATAAAAGTGAAAATAGTATCCTTCGATCTGCATTCAGACTCCATAGTTCTTTCTCTGGATGTCAATAGCATTTTCCATCATGAGTCTTCTAGAATTGTCTTAGATCATTGTATTGCTGAGAAGAGTTAAGTCTATCAAAGTTGGTCATCGCCCAGTGTTGCTATTACAAAAATCCTTTTTAATAGGGGATAATTCAAGATTCAGCAAAAGAAAAAGGCCTGATCCACAGAAAGATCCTCCAACATCAACCATAGACTGACCTCTGAGCCTGACTGCAGACTGACCTCTGACCCCAAGCCAAGGGATTGACCCTCAAATTCATAGACACATGTGCCTTTGGACACAGGGGCCTTGGATCAGTGGAGAAAGTTTGATAAATGTTGCTGGGAATTACCAATGCTTGGTAAATACTGTTAGATGCTAAATGACATTCATTAAGACTTTCAAAACAGTCCAAATGGCCAAATGCAAGATTTATGACTTTCCCAAAAGTGGATTATTGTACCCATATTTCTAAAC